CGCATTGAAATTCTTGTTTAAGCTCTTGCATCTAACTACATCTCTCGGAGAGAAACACAAGATTACCTGAAGAACTAGGTCATCATTCAAGTTACCCATGTTTACGTTCTTTAATTATTTTTCTTCGTATTCTAGAGGGAGGGTATCAACATCTGGGACGAGGAATCACTATCTACTTTGGATTAGGGGGAATTTGTTTCTGTATTTATTTTTACGACCAGGATTTGAATAGCCACCCATCAATGGAAAAGTTATTATGACTTAGTGATTATGTGAATACACATATGTATGTTCGCATTGTAGTAAAATGCCATAAACGTCTTATGGAACTAAGTAATTGGAAATTATTGAAAAGATAAAAGTATTATCTTATACTTACAATACTGCAATATGAATTTTGATAATTAGTTTTCAAAATTTGATTTCTAAAATTAATGGAGGTAACTGTTCTCTATCATAGGATTGTCAACAAGTTCAATTGCTATAAAACATTAAAAAACAGAGGTTATAAATTTGGAACCGAGTTCAAGATGAGCTTAGGCCAAGCCAGTTTGAGATCAAGATCAAAGATGGTATATATTTGTGGCTAAGAATCATAATATAAGGACGTCTAATGGAGTTCCATTTTTACCCTTACAACTACGAATAAGAAACCCTTTTTGTTTAGAACATCCACCACTACTTATGCTGGTTGAACCTTTTGTTAATGCCGAGCCAGCTCTTTAACAGCGAAAGTCTTTGATGTTAGTATCGTTTCCATGTTTCTTAACGTTCCTTAATAAAATATTGTGGATCATCTTGGGGTGTGATACCCTGAAGTTGTGTTACTGCGTTCTCATTTGTCCGACACTGACACTATGCCTTGCTTCCGTTTCTTTTGAAGTGCACATCACCTGCACATTTCATGCACTTCCAGCCACGGCATTAACCGGGGGGCAAGGAAACACCTCTGCCGTAGCTTTTCCAACCAAAAGGGTATCAATATCTGGGACGGGGAATTGTAATCTACATTGGATGAGGGGAAATTTGTTTCCATATTTATGTTTATAGCCAGGATTCAGAAAGCCAGCTATCAAAGGCAGAGATTTTGCGAATCTGGGAAAGTGTTAGGAATATTGGGCCTAACTCCACCTAATAAAACCGGCTTATTAGGGGAGGATTGTCATCACCTTATTAAGTGGATCATTTATATTTTTTCAAGCAATGTGGGATTCTAATACGTCCCCTCACGCACAGCGTGGACCATGCAAAACCCTCACGCACAGCGTGGACCATGCCAAACAACTGTGAACAAATCGATATTGGGTGGCACCCAACATTGCATAATTGGGCCTAGCTCTGATACCATGTTAGGAATATTGGGCCTAACTCCACCTAATAAAACCGACTTATTAGGGGATGATTGTCATCACCTTATTACGTGGATCATTTATATTTTCCCAAGCAATGTGGGATTCTAATAGAAAGTAGTTATGATTTGACAATTATGTGAATACGCATATATATGTGTGAGGTTTAGAAAAGTGTCGTAAACTTTACAGCTCCTTTTTTTTTTTTTTGTTCAAAGATGTAAACGTGTTATGGAAAGAAGTAATTGAAATTATTGCAAAGATAGAAATATTATCTTATACTTGTAATATGCAATGTGAATTTTGATAGTTAGTTTTGTAAATTTGTTCCTAAACTTAAAGGAGTCAATGAGTCTAAGTCACTATAAAATATTGAAAACCCCGGGTTCTAATATACAAAGAACTTCTGTTGGATTTTAAACTCAAAATGATAAAGAAGTGAAATAAAGAAATCAACATATGTATTTAATATGGTTTGGCGACGTGCCTACATCCATAAAGATTGAATTAAAGATTTTTATCAATATGAATAATAGAGTTACATCATCAATATTTATACTAAACCTAGCCTAAGCTCATACAATACTGTAGGGCTCTATTCCATTCGATGTGCTCCACTCCACTCCGGCATTGGCTTTTTTGATCCAGTAAACCTGTGTTCTACTCTATATAAGTCACATATACAACAACTTATAATTGGAGTTCCTTGATTACCCTTAGAACTAGGAATGATAAAGCGTTTTGGCTTAGAACATCGACAACTACTTATGCTGGTTGAATCTTTTGGGAATGCCAGTGCTGCTATTTAATAGCTAATGTATCTGATGTGTGTCGGTCTCATAATTATTATTCTTTACTCCAAGTCCATTGTTTTAATTATTAATGTGCTTTAATACTTAATTGCGGATCAGCTAGAGGTGTGATACCATGAATTTGTGTTGTTTCATGGCATTCGCAAACATTGACACTCTACATTGCTTCTGTCCCCGTCGAAGTACACATCACTCGTACATTTCATGCACGTCCAGCCATGGCATTGACAAGAGGCAAGGAAGCACCTGCGCCATAGCCATTCTATCCAAAAGGGGTCTAACACCTATCTAATATTAGATTTCTTATTAAGTCTAACAACAAATGTTGCTTTTCAGAGACTGGGATGGGAGTGGGAAAAGATGAGACATGGAAAATCAACCCTAATTTCAGGGTAAAACAAATGGTCTGGTTGAAAAAAATCATATATTTTTTTTCCAATGCTAAGCTTTCTTTAACACCAACTCTTCAATCCTTAAGAGATACAGCATAATTTCAATGGATTGCATAATTTCAATGGATTCCTCTACTTCAAACATAACCACAGCATACTGCAAAATGCTAAAAAATTTATCCACTTCATAATAACCGTTCAATTTCTAATTTTCAATGGAACTAGACTGTACAAAACTAGGTAGAGGGCATATTTTATTTTCCTACCATGAAGAACTAATATAGGATTCAGGTTTTCTCCATTACTCTTGCTCAGCTGTAGCTGGATTTAATCCGACAGCAAAGAAGTGAAAGTGAGAATATACGTTAACAAGTGAAAGTGAGATTGACGGAAGATAAATGATTGGAACAATATCTTCTTTAAAGTCTGAAAAAGCACTCTCATTCACAAGAGTCACACATTCTCAATAGGAAAAATTCACATTGTAGTAAAATGTTCTCAACAGGTTATTATCACTTGATGATAATATGAATACACATGTATGTTCACACTGTAGTAAAAATAAAATGTTGTAAATGTGTTATGGAAAGAAGTAATTGGGAATTATTGCAAAGATAAAAATATTTCTTATACTTCTAACACTACAGTAAGATTTTTGATAATAGTTTTCAAATTTTGATTCCTAAACTTAAAGGAGTCAACTATTCTTTCTGTCTCTCTCTCTCTCTTTCTTTCTTTACTTCTTTTGTAGCATAGAGTTTCACCCGCTACTCTTTCATAAATCATAAAGGTCCTTCCCTTTAGTATTTCTATTGAACTTGAGATTAAATTACTTTTATACATTAACTTTTCCTTCAGATTTTGAATCCTACTGAGGCTTTCTTCATTTTTGTGGTGAGGTGGGATATACGCAAATTGTTGTTGCAGCTATCAATATCTGCCGGCTTGTCTCTTCATATTTTAAGGAAAAACATCAAAAACAATGTATTTTATTTCCAAAACTAACTTTGAATTCGTGGTCATTAGAATGACTAGACATTTATAACTGAGACTCATTCCATAGTGCGATGCGCCTCATAATTCTCGTGTCTGTGCAGTTTTCTGGTATCAATGGAGTTTTATACTCTAAAGGCGGGCGTCAAGTTCTTCTTTCCAGCATCAGTGCATTCATAAATCACTTGTTGATCCCATCTATAGCTGGCAGAAGGTAACTTATTTTCCATGCTTTTTCCATCTCCCATTTTTTCTGATGCTGACAGTCCACCCCAGATTCTATCTGAATATTTCTCAAATAGCAGGTTCGATATACGTACGTTCTGAATTCTTTCCATTATCCATTTTAATCGACCATTTTGTTAAACTTACGCTACTAAATAATAGAGCACCCTTGTTAATTTAATTCACATCTGCAACAATATTTATTGAATAGTAGCTTTTTTTTATGGACCGAATGCACCAGTAGGTTTATCAAATCAGTTTCTTCAAAATTTGAATCAACTTATCCTAAGAAAACTTGTTTTCACTTCGTCAATCCAAATATTACTTCTCATTTTCCACCTTTTTAAAGCAAACAAACATGTTTCTGTATTTAAATTCAAATAGAGCCCTTTTTCTCTTGTGATGTTCTTTTTTTCTCTCAACCATACCAACACTGATTATAGCACTCATTTCTGCAAATGTATCTGATTTGGGCACCGTAACTCGTACTGTTATCTCAACCACATGCGTTGCTTTTGCAGCTTTTCATGGGATATTGACCCATCCCAAACATCATGTGCTCCGAAATCTTTCTTACAAGGGTTCGGGGTATCAGCATCACCATCTGTGCCATTACTTTCTTGATATGTTATGTTATTGTTACCTACACATAGCCCGTGATGCTCAACTCCATTGGCATAGGGAGTATTTTTTAATATATGCATTTGTGTGCATCTACTCGTGGATTTTCGTATTCTTAAAGGTTTTGGAAACCAAGGGAATGCCCCCGGAAGCCGTTACCGAGTTCTTCTGTTGGAGCAAATCCGGGTGCAGCTGAACATTAGTGGAGAAACCCTGAATCCTGTATTAGTTCTTCTTGGTAGCTAAATAAAATATTCTATCTAGCTAGTTTTGTACAGTGCAGTTCCATTGAAAATTAGCAATTGAAGTGCACAAAACGTTTCAACATCCATACAGAACATTGATTTTCCAAATGATAAATATACAGCTATTGCAGACTCAAAACAACTCTGTACTTCAACATTAAATTCTATGTACATTCCAAGTTTCTTAGCAGATAGATTTGAAAATTGGCAAGAGACTCCATGCAAACAGATAATATCCTACTTTCTCACTTAAACATGCAAATCATTCGGTACTGCTGCCGGCAAATATTGTATTTAGTCGAAGAAAAGTTTTCAGACAGCGAATTGTAATCTCAGACAGTGAAACTTCGTGCTTCTGCATCCTCATAGATTGGTTTGCTCGCAGGAATTATGTGCACGGTCGGATTTAGGAGGATTAGGACTCGATTTAGGATTCGAGGTGCTCTGTTCTACTTGATCGCCTGACTTCAGATGTGATTTTAGTGGCCTCTCAAAGTCTCTGGCTGCTGCGGGATCAATCACTAATTTGTTAAGTTTTTGCTCCTGCAAAACAAAGAAAAATGACTTCAAGGCCTAACTTCTGGAATGAGCAAATCAAGGAGTGTGCATTTTGAGAGGCAGAAGCGTGACTGTTCTCTTATATAGCCTAGACTTGTGAATTCTTTATAAAAACAAAAGGGATGGATGTAAAAATAGACTTGATTACCATCAGCATTAAATGTGCGCACGTGCACACGCACAGAGAGAGAGAGAGAGATGCCAATCATTTTGTCAAAGTTGGCTCTAGAAAAGTAACCAATGAGAAATACCCACATTCTTAAATGTGAACTATACTTGTGGCAGTTGCAGGTGAAATGATGAGATGCACTACCAATCGTGCCCACAGCTCTCAAATCTAGTATAACTCCAATCCAATTCAAACCCCAACAAACTGGTACCAAAGCATACAAGGGCATACATGAACTGCACATAGAGATTATTTTTATTTGGATTGACGACGAATAAAATTCTATACAAAGATTGGTAACACTCCCCTTTAGATCATCAACTGAAGAGTTTTTACCACTTGGAAAAATCAAATACAACCTCTAAATTTGAAAAAAAATTATTAATAGCATAACAAAGAAGTCAACCTCTAGTCATGACATCTTCCTTTCCTCATGTAACAATCTATTGTTTTAAGAAGCTTACATTTTGCAGGGCTTCAAGCTTTCTCTGCAATGCTTCATGCTCTGCCTGAATACGAAATGGAACACCATGCTTCTGGTACACATTATTTTGTGCCAAATCTTCATCGATATCGCTTGAAGTAGTTGCAAACGGATGATTTGCAGGAATCCACCTAACAGTGTCGGGATCCACATCAGGAGGAACGGATTCTCCTTCTTTAAGAAACATTGTTGGTCTCTTCCACTGATATGCACGTGATCTCCGTTTCTGATGGACTGATTGCTCTTCCTCTGTGAGAGTCACTGGAGCTAAACGGTATACTTTTCCACACATCTCAACACTTGAATTGCTCTTGCTGACCTTTACCATAGGGTTGTTGAATGGGTCTTCATATTTGAGAGGTGTTGAGCTGAAAAGAAACATCAGAAAACAAACAAAAGAAAATCTAATCTTAAGCATGAAATAAAACTGAAACATGTGGTGTTAGCATATCTTGCAAATTGTCTGACAAGTTGTTTGACAACCGTTCACCAAAGAAAGCAAGTAGTTGAGTGCTAAATTCAACTTTCTAGAAACTTTAACAAATCTACTACGCCCTATGATCTGCCATCAGTTAGCAAAAGACATGGATTGTGAAAGCTTTTATAGTTAAACTGTTAAATTATAACATCCCATGAATCTGTCACTAACGTAGTGTGCCTAGAGCTTACAGAATTGATGTTAGAACCATACATGCCTCTTCTATCCGATCTCAGCTGACCACGGCGGACAAGATCAGCCACAGAGCCAGGACGATTGTGTCTTGATTTCCTTGCAGCATATCCTTTCACCACTATAATTAACAAAGTTGCCACAATGCACAATCCAACAGTGAAACTTACACCAGAATATTTCCCAGTCTGCAAAAAGAACACAAAAATGGAAAATTAAATATAGGGGAATAATTCTATTACCCCCAAGGGGCCCTCTACGAAGAAATACTAGAAGGGGCAAGTTGGCCATGCACAAGGTTCAGATATCTTTGCAAAAGAAACAATAGCTCCAAAAGCATAGTCCCAGCATTTCAAATGAAATGACATTTTCATCTGTCTAAAAAACCTAATCATTTTACCAAGTGGCATGTCCAGTTTAGAGGAAAATACAGCACATCGAAAAACCTTGCAGATGAAAATTCATGGATTCAAAAATTAAGAATATCGATGCATGATACAGAATCATATCGGCAATAAAATCAAGCCAATTCTATTCCCAGTTAATTTGTTATAGAGCAATTTCAATTCGGTTCTGAATGGGCCACGGGAAACAAACCTTTATGGTCATATCAGGCAATGTCAATTTAGTCAACCTCCCCTCTTAGAACCTACTGTACTAGGATTGCACCGCTGTTGTAAAAAAATAAATGATAAAAAAATTCTTTTTATACACAAGATGTGTTCTAATAATCTAAGGCATCATTCCTTGTAATATCCTCAATAATTGTATATTCATTTTAGATAGTAAGACAATAGACTAACTATAAAAGAGCGAAATCAGCTCAAATTGAACATTCAAATTCAATCATCAGTAATAAGTGGAATTCAAGAGGAATGATTAAGCACAAGCAAGACTTTGCAGTAATACATAGATATAAAACAGTGCACACCAGCATTTGTATAAAGGGGGTGTTTGACACCCATTTTATATAAATCGTCAAACTTCATTTTTAGGGGGTGTTTAACACCCATTTTAGTAGAAAAATGTGTTTTTGAATAGTGATTGATAGAAGAATGTGTGGTTAAAAAGTAAGGAGAATTTTAGGTTTATGTGTAATATTATTTTATTGATAGAATACGTGGTTGAAATGAAGAAAGAGAAAAAGAATGAGAAAAAAATGAGTACCAAACAGGGGCAAAATGCATATAACATAAATTAACTAACAATTGTAGAATGGGAAGTAGAACAGAGAGTAAATGGCACAAATTGACTGCGCTTCTTACTTTATTATATTTTTATTCTACTTCATTACGTTTCTTTATTTCTTTTCCAAAAGTCGCCAAGGCATTCACCTAGAACATCAAAACTCATTCCCAGTTGAGCAGCATCCCCACTTGTAAACAACTATATAGTCTTATTTCAAATTCTTTTACTGAGTTCCAATTCGGCATTGGACAAAGAATGAGTACAAATTATCCAAATAAATGTTGAACATATTGGTTGCATAATATTTCCAGATCCATATAGAAAGCCAGATATTACCTTGAAAACTAACAAAGGAAGAGAGCTAATTGACTCTTGGAACATAGCAACTGGGTTTTGCTGTGTCTTCGCTGCATTGTCTTTTGATGAGTTATTAACTATAACCTCATCTCGAAGGCGCTTATCATCATCTGAACTCACTGCTCTCACTATGAACTTTCTTAATGTACTTCTACTGGTACAGTTTTTACAATTACAAGCAAATTCCAAATATCTCCGAAATCGTACTTCACTTGATAAAATCGGAATCTTCAAAACAAAAAATTTAGAAACATACAATCAGAAAATTGGATAATAAATAGGCAGAAAATGGGAAACAAAAGAATGCCATAAGAATTGAAATAGGGTTTGCATTCGACGTACTGGGAACGAGGACGAATGAAAATGTAGCGTCCATATTGAAGCCGTAGTCGTCATTATTAATGGTGAAATAGAAACAGAATATTCATTCTAGCAAATTGAAGAAGTAAATTTCTGCAACAAGATGAGCTGATTTGGGGAAAGTATTTAGGGTTAGGGGTTGTAAAATGACAAATTGCCGGTACTATTGAACCGACAGCCCCAAATTTTCATACCAGATTTTGATAGCTTCTGAGGTAAATTGCTTAATCTGGCCCAATACCTTTCTACAATATGGGCTTTCTCATAGAACCTACTAAACCTTTAATTTTGATAGTCTCTTCTCTTGTTTTATTGAAAGGAAGTCACAAACTACGTCACAAAACACACGAAGTCACCGTCACATATCACATAATTTATAGGTCACAATCAAGTATTATGAAAACATATCAAGACCCTGTTTGGCCTACATTATTTTTATCATTCTCATTTTCTACTCATTTTCAACCACACATTTTTTAATAAAATAATATTTTCCATCACATCAATAACTCTTCCTTATTTTTCAACCACATATTTCCAATCACATTAACAGTAAAAATGTATTCTTACATTCAAAATATGCATCAAACAGGGGCCAAGTCTAACAATGACTTTTATGGAGGCCTGACCTTATATTTTGAGTAAGAGTAATGTTATTTATTCTCGTTGGTGTTTAATACCAATTTAAGTGAAAGTAGTTGTGATATTAAATTATAAGTTCAATTAAATACAAGGATTTATGGCACAATTTATTCAGCATCATTGGTGGTAGATGACATTTTCAATTCTTGTGTGAATAAAAAAAGAATTACATTATTATTTCACACCTATTAGATTTTGTATAAAACTTTTTATTCTCGATTTCTCTAACTAATAATTAACATTAAATTCTAAATGAATATTAATTACGAAAGATCCTTATTTATTTAATTTTGCACACTATTTTATATTTATACTTCAAATATCACGAAAGTGTTATCGAAGTCTCCTAGATGTGAATGTCACATGCCCAAAGTATTAAATACTAATCAATATACAAAAAATTTAACTTAGTATACAATTGTCCGTGCACGGAAACATAATTTTTTTGTGACTAATGGTATGGAGCACATATATTAGAATAATGTTATTTAGCATTACAACATCAGCATATGTGACAAAAATACCATTAAATGAGATGAACGGTTAACTGATTGCATAATTTTACTTTTAATTGAGCACATCACATAGTGTTACTTATACTGGTGTTCTAGAACCAATGAAGTTAGATAGCATTATTCCATATGTTAACCTGGAGATCCCAAGTTTGATTAACGTCGTTCCAACCTTCCTCTAAATTTATTTTTTAAGCCCTTTCCAACATGAGGATGCCTTATGCTTCTCTTCTTTATTTAGTCCCTATTGGTAGAAATTTTGTGAAAAATGATTTTCTTATAGTAGAAGAATATTATGAGCATTTTATTAAAAAAATTGTAATTAAAAATAAATTTCAAAAATTGACGGCCAAATAGCTAGAGTGTTCTCCTGTCCACGGCGGGGAAGTGAACAAAGTTCTCATGTGATGACGCCACGTTGCGTGCTTTTTTGCATCATTAGCCTTTTTCTTTTCTCTGGCTTTTCTCCCATCACCAACCCACACACCCGTTGCCACGTCAGCGGTGCATTTTTTTTTCATCCTTGCACTTTTGCTTTGGCTTCCCCCCATAACGCCCACCAGCCCAGAATCGGTCACTTCATCCACTAAAATAAAATGTTACTTTCCCACCCACTCCAAATGACTTCCCAGTTCCCACGCACCCCAATTATCAACCTATCCACCAATAATTTATCCACCCACTAATTCTCACATTCTCCTATTTTTATTGAGAAAAAAGTCACAATAGATACAAAATCTCTCAAGTCTCAAACAGTTGGCCTTGGATTTCTTTGCTTCTTTAGGATAAACTATCTTTTTATAAAGCATAGGTACCTCTTTTTTATTTAATTACTTATAATTTTGTTTCAAAGAAGATTCTTTTGTATGCTTTGATTGTTGTTTTAATCGTGTAATCTATAACGAGTTTTTCTCTATATGATGAATGAATTGAAAATTTTAATAATCTGAACAGCTCGAACTTGTTGTAGGGATGAATTCAGAAAATATTGACAATGCATTTATTTCACAAGTTTTCTTTAGCCTAAATACCCAAAGTTGAGCAGGAACTTGAGTCGCATGAGGAGACGTATAGTTTCTATAATCAGTATGCACGATGAATAGGATTTAATACAAGAATAAAAAGTAGTAAGAAGAACAAGGAAACAAACGAGACTTACTAAAAATTATTTGTGTGCTCAAAGGAAGGGAGAACGATGATACTTACTAGAGAAAACATAAAAATATTGTGCCACGAGTTGGGAAAGAAATTATGAAAGACACGAGTTAGATGCAACGCTAGATTATCTGTGATCAAACAACAAATCGAACAGTTTCACAAATAAATATTACACAAATTGGTAAAAAATCAATGATATTGTCGACAATTTGACATTACACGATAAAAGAATATTATAAATTGCAATGGCATTACTCATAAATTATTTTTTTATTGATAAAAGAGTATTAATACGTGAGAATTGGGGTGCGTGGGAAAGTGATGTGATAAAGTGACAGAGTTGGGGGTGCGAGGGAAAAGCCAAAGCTAAAAATCAAGGAAGCAAAAAGGCGTGTTCTATCATCTATGCTAGGATGAAATGATCGATTTTGGGTGGGTGGTGGTGTGGGAGAAGTCAAAGTAAAAGGGCAATAATGAAAAAGTGGGTTATTAGCACAAAAATGTCATTCATTTTTTAAGTTCATCGTGCAAAACATTGCTACATTTTATTTTATTTTTATATTTCCTTCTTTAGTTTTATATTTCATTGCTGAAATTATCATTTTCATCAATTTTTATTCAATTTGTCAACAAAAATATGTGAAATGTCGAATATACCCTACTATTTAAATAAAAAAAGAAAGCAAAGAAAAATCAAGAACTGATTGCAACCATACTCCCAACTTTTTTAAAAAAATACAAATAAGTTCTAAATAAATTATTTAAAAAAAAAAAAGTTCTTCTCCTTTCTTCATCTTCCACTCCCTCTTCTCCACTATCACGACCACCACCACTAGACTTTTAATTGATTAACAGATCCTGCGGGGAGCATATATGTAATGGGTAGCTGATTTAAACATTTCATTTTCGAGATTTAGTTGGCTAATTTCTTTCATTTGATGACATGTTAAATCAGCTTGATTATGAATTCAGCTTAACCACTTTTTCAGTTTTTTGCTTTCAAAATTTCTCTGTAAGCTTTATTCTTGGAATTGACAACGCGAATATGGACGGAGGTGTCGACGGTGGCATGCCATATATAGGGTTCATTTGGGTGGAGGAGTCTGACATTGTGGTGATGGAGCATTTTGTATGTATGGGTTCGAGTCTGGAGTTATATGGATTTTGCTAATAATACATAGGGGTATACCTAACGGATTACACCCATGTGAGGGGGGTGTATCCCCTTAGGTACATCTTTGGAGTTTTATTTGTACTTTTTTAAAAAAAAATTGAGAGTATAATCACAATTTATTCTTATTTTTTTTATTTAAATAGAAGAGTATATTTATCATTTTACAAGTTTTAATTAAGAAATTGGATAAAAAAAAATTAAGAAATTGCATTTTCCACAATGAAACTTGGAATATATGAGTGAAAATGTAAAAAAATGAAACGTATGGATGTTTTGTACACTAATAATAAAATGTCGAGACGTTTTGTGCTAATAAATCATAAAAAAAATACACGGTCGCAATGCCAGCGATGGAAACTTCGTTCTCCTACCCTATGGAGGCGAGAGAACCCTCATAGGCCAAATAATGGTTTACTAGGAGACTATAAAGGCCAACTCATCAATATAATAATAATAACAACAACAACAACTACTACCATTCATAAATATATTTGATAAATTTAATATTTCTACTTAATTCTCAGCATTTTTCAATTCTCACAACAATTTTTTATTTTTTATTTCAATTTTTTTTTTTACAATAAATTTCATAACTCATGATTTGATATTTTACAAAATTATTTTATACATATTTCACGATCATGTCTTAATCACTACCGTCCACAGCCACAACCATCATTGTCATCACTGTAACACAATGTGTTACGTGTGCCACTGTTACCATTATCACCACTTTGTAACATTCAATGTTACACCATCATTACCGTCGATCCCGTCACTTATAATATTTATTGTTACACCATCCCTATCACCATCATTTGTGATTTGTATTATTGTACTACCACCATCGAACCACTACCACCACGTTTGCCACGGTTGTTGTTGCCATGAAAATTTTTTCTATTCTTTGACCATCAAAAATATTCCAAAAAAAAACAATACTACTTTGTTTGACCACAATATAGTAGCTTATGAAGATGATTTACCTTGCTACATGGCTAGGGTCAATGACAGAAAAGCAAAAAAAATAGAGACTGATGTGGCAATTTTTCATTGGAGAATGAAAAAAAAATCATAAAAACGCTCAATCGTAGGCTGTCACATCAGTCTATTTTTTTTCCCCTGTTTGTTCAGCATTATTGCAAAACCAAAGTATATTGCTCAGTTGGTCCCATTCACTGCGTTATTAGTGGAAAGAAAAAAAAGTAATACAGATTTAAGAAGACCACCTTACACTTTTTCAAGTAATTACTTATAATCTACTTATTCATGTCAATATCATTTTGTGTTTAAGCACCCAACAGCACATGCAGTTGTTAATAATTCTTACATGTTTATTATTAACTTCAAAAAATTCATTTTAACGCATCAAAAAACATAAACTTGGGTAAAAGCAAAAGCACATGTTCAAAAGCAAGAACAATCCAAGGCTTCAAATACAAGGCCTGTCTTTTAGGATCGCAAATCTTCATGTAGGATCGTCATGGTCTGCAGCACAATTTCAAATGCTAAAGATTCTTAGAAGAGGTAATAGCAAAGCATACTCATGTAAATCATATTGAAAAATTTATCGTACAAAAATAATAAACGTTAATAAAATAATTGATTTTTTAAAGAAAAGACGAGTAGACACCTCTTTTTGAGACGTATATCTGAGGCAAGTTTAGCTATTTTCGATATTCTTTTGAACCATTCGATATGACTATGATATAGTTCTCGAAACGAGCTTTTAGATGACGTAGGCGATTTGTGAGTCGGCTAGCATACAATCACAGTCGAATTTTTAAAATTAACTTATCATCGAAATTTCGAAATGCTAGTTGGGAACGACCTATTTTGAAGCACCGTAATTTTTGTTATGGTAGGCAGTTTCACACGACATTAACGAGGGAAAATTTAGGTCGTGAACACTTCGAAATGATATTAAGAATGTAATGTTTCGACTTCATTTGTCATCCCGTAATGAGTGCTTCAAAGTAAGCCGTAAAGGACGATCGTAGGTTTTTCAAATAATATATAAATTTGAAAAAAAAAAAAAAAACTGTATCTCGCTGTAAATGGTTCAAAGCAACTATACCACATATGACCCATGTGGGTCTGCCCATGTAACTGGTACGTGGTAAAGTTTCGTCAGCAGTGGCGCTGACGATAAGTGGGGTAGGCTATCGCTTAATGCCCCCACTTTCATGAGGTGCCTCCAAAAAATTATTGCATGTATTTTACAAAAAAATTACAAACAAATTAATATCCAAATGCAAAATTATCTATGATTGCACGAGGTTATATGCTACGTCGAATATAAAAAAGAGTAATATTATTCATTTCCAATGATGATGAAAACACAGTTTATGTGACTTTAAATGATAGGTTAAATGAAAAGTGAAATTAAATGACTTATATAATTTCACATATCATTTAATGTCACAGTAGACTGTGTTTTCATCTCTAATGGGGATGAATAGCATTGCTCTATAAAAAATGGATCCTCTCAACACACTCCGAAGAGTTTCCACATGGCAAAGTTCCCTTATGAAACAACAAAATTATCTATGGTCTCACAGGGTTTTAAGATACATAAAACATGAAAATTAATTTCAACTTGAGTTGGCACGTGGCAAAGTTCCATTGTAAATTGGTAAAAACTATCTGACTGCACAAGATTTGTGCCGCAGGTAATAAAAGCAACACGCTTATTGTGTGAGTAGTAACAGAGCCAAAGGCACTCAACAAACATGCTCCTTTCATGAAGTGGGAGATATTGGGTAAGAAAAATGTGGGACCTGAAAAAAAAATCCTCTATACGCTATTCGTAAAGCACGATTTTATCACATGCCCAAATTACTCTCTATTCTTTGTGGGTTGCATACGTCATTGTTAAATGACCATATCATCTAAAATCTAAGCCCCTGTTTGGCCCTCATTATTGTTGATTTTTGAGGGGTTAAAAATTTTTAGAATAGTGATTGATGAAAGATGTGTGGTTGAAAAGTTTTAGAGTGCCCATCCTTTGCCAACTTGGATGTGCCCCGGGGGGCAAATTTTTAGAATATTGATTGATGGGAGATGTGTGGTTGAAAAGTTTTAGATTTGTGTGTATTATTATTTTATTTGATGAATATATGATTGAGATGAAGAGAGAAAAAAAATTAATGTAATGTAATTGAATTTGATGGAGGCCAAACAGGGGCTAAATATACATAGCTTTTAATGTACACTCAATTTATTCTTATTTTTGAATTTTATATACGAAAATTTATTGCAATATTGAATATATTATCTTTTATCTTTAAATCTTCAATCCACAACTCTGTAGGAGTGGTATTAATTAGTGGTGGCAAACGATCGAGCTGCTCGTTGCTCGTGAAAAGACTACTCGTGGGCGGCTAGGACTTGTCAAATTACGAGCCTGCTCGGCTAGCCAACGAGCCAGCCCACAAGGGTTTTATCTTTAAAAAAAAAAAAACAGGTTTATCTTTTTTTAAAAATTTTGGAAAATGGACGAGCTCACGAACTGACGGGCATCTCGGTCGACGAGTAAAGAGCTGAGCAGAAGCTTCGCTCGTTATAAATGAGCCACGAGCACGAACCGAGCTCATACGCATTAGGGTTGAGTCGGCTCGGTTCTGCTCAAACTCGACTCATTGCCACATCTAGTATTAATCATCAAGAATTAAGTGAACATGCATCTCTTCCGTTACCAAAATTATTTTAGCATTTTTGGGTCAAAAATCGATACCAAGAAAGTTCAATGGTACACATTATAGTTGGTATTATAAATCATTATTCTTAATGTTAATTACCATTTATTAATTACCCATTATTGAGAAATTATACACACGTGGCGACAATGTATTGTGTTATAGTGGCCCTTTTTCTTGGTCTTCCATCTTATTTTGTTGGGTGGCTCTCATTGAAAGGGAATAAGATATGGTGATATAATAAATTATAGTACCATTAAGTTGGACTATTCTTGCCTCAATTGGTCCATTAGCCAAGAAAATGGTGTGTAATAAATTATCTAAATTGGTCAGCGACCAGTTAGGGAAATTCGAGAAAAAAAGAAGAAGTGGGTAGTTCTCTTACTGGAAGGTTCCTTCACACGATGACATTTACCATATATTTAATGATACCTTTGGCATTTTTGATGTTTGGGGCGTTCTTATTGGTGGTTTACCAACTATGGTTGTGTCACCTCCCTTGTAAAGTAACCCAAAAAAAAAAAATTATCTTAAAATTTCAATAAATACATATAGGAATGACTGAAGAGCACAGTATTGGTGACGTGTTATATTAATTCATCGATAAATAACAAATTTGATTCAAATGTTGAGATATATCAAAACTTTGTCTCATAATACATTTCAATCACTTTTCTGATCCCTTATCAAGTGGTATATCGTAAAGATATATTCTGCTTTGGACAATGTTGATTATACTTTTTTGTTTCGGGTAAAAAGATAAGGTTAACCAGTGCAATAACTCTATACAATATTCATATAAATTTCATTATTGCGATATTCCTATAGTTTATTTGTCTATATTAATGTCGTTTATTGGTTATAAAGGGAGCCCTCTCTATCGTGGTACATGTCTTGTTGGATTAAATTCAACGCAAAAACTAGAAAGAAAACATTAAAGTCACCTCAAGAAATCAGTTTGATGCCTTTAAAAAACTTTTAAAGCTTTTGAAGGGTGTGAAAATGAAAGCCGTAAATAAGTTAAAGATCCAGAGCATAGATACAGATATGCCAAACATATGATTAACATATTATTGACAAAAATGTTGATTAATGTAATTAATTGACAAAAACCTGTATTGTTTCTTCCCTTTTTCTTTTTTTCTTAAAAATAAACACTAATCTTCCGTCCTAACCCAAATGTTGATTTATTTTTTTTTTTTTCTTGTAAAAGGCTTAGGGTCTGTTTGATTGGCAAATGTGGAAAGACTTTCTATTATATAAGTTGAAAAATAAAAACCCAAATACTCCATAGGAATACATTTTCCATGAAATTTGCAAAAACAAGTTTAAAGTGGTTGTACCTTGAAATTCGAACTTTATTTTCACTTTTGTATCAAACAGTCAAAGTAAAAATTGAATTCCTCGAATATGACATTTTCATATAATTTAAACAAATCAAACGGACCCTTAAAGTCAAAATTATTGCACAAGACCCACTATTTGTTTATTTTTCAACTTGTGTTTGGGACACATTCTTGTGAAAGAATGTATTATTGAATAGTAGATTTATGGAGAATGTGTAGTTAAAAATGAAGGAAAAGTTATTGATGTGATGAAAAATATTATTTTATTGAAAAATATGTGGTTGAAAATGTGTAGAAGAATGAGAATAAAAAAAATAATGTGTATCAAACAGAACCTTAGATTGCAATATGCCACGCGCATTTTCGGACCCCCACAAGCTTTTACAATGCAAAAGTCACTCGACAATAAAAGTCCACAACGAGCAACCACATTATGCAATTATTTACTCATTTCTTGGAAAAATTAAAGTGATCTAATGTAACTCAAACAGAAATTTATGAAAAGAGATTAGAATTATGTGATGATTGATTGCCACGTTTTTTATGGAAAATATCATATCCGATAAAAACGAATTCCACTTTAATAATTTGATTGTAACGTGAAAATGAAAATCGAATTCTAAGGTACAATTACTTTATCTTGCATTTTCTTTATTTTCATGAAAAACGAATTCCTATATTTTTTGAATTTTTATTTTCCAACTAACACAGAATTAAATTTTTTTTCCACGTTTGCCAATCAAGCGGACTTTTAGGATTTAGGAGGAAAAAGGAGGGGGAGGGGTAGACAATGAAGTGATCGGTATTTCTTTTTCCTTCCTAACACACTACAGCATATAGATACATAAAGAACAGGAATTGATCTTCTTCTTCTTCTGCTAATCCTTAATTAAACATCCATGGAACCTGCTATTGTATAAAGTATTGAATAATTAAGGTAATACAATTTGATTAAAGGAAAACCGTAGTAAAATGGTCTATTGGTCTGGATGCTGGCTGAGGCTGAGCTCTGTAGTTGGTTGCGGCAGAGGAGGAGGAAGAGGTGGCGGCCGGCAAATTTCCGCATTTCTGACACCGGCTGACGGCCAAAATCTGGCGGCAAGAGGGGCAGGAAGAGTGGGAACCGAGCCAAGTGTCAACGCATACGACATGGAAGCCATGGCCGCACTGTGGAAGCACGCGGACCTCTTCTCCAGCGGCGAAGTCCGCTAGGCAAATGGCGCAGTCAGAGAACTTCTTGGCTTCCTCATCCTCGCCGTAGATTAGCTTCGGTATGGACTTCAGGACCTTCTTTTTGAGTCCTTTGTTGGCAGGCGTGGATGCGGCTGGCAGAGCGGCAGCGGCTGTGCTAGTGATACGTTGGATCCAGTCGCAGCGGACCACGATGGCAAGGCCAAGAACGCAGATTACTGCGCAGAGCAGAGCCGCAAGTATGATTATGTAGTCTGAGTTGAGGGACTCGATTGGTGGAGGTGACTCCTTGGACGGAAGTGCTTGCGGCGGCGACGCATTTACGCCGCCGAGGAAACGAGAACGGAGAGGCATGAATGGAATAAGAGGATTTGAGTATTTTTTTCCTACTGCGTATAAAGCTTGCAAATTTCTAGTTTTAACTTTTAATGATGTATAAACGAGGAAAAGGACAAATGCAAGATCGATAATGACATACCCACGTACTTCCAAAATTTACAAACTTATCCTTCTAAAGTTTTATGGGTAATTGGCGCAAAACGTTCCTACCTTTGCTTATCTTTGTGGAAAACGACAAAACGTCCCTACGTTTCGTTTCTTGATGCAGAACGTCCCTACCTTTCACTTTTTGTGTGCAAAACGTC